CTCTGCTTCTCCTTTCAGGCCTTTCCTTGAACAGGCCAGCTTGTCGCTGCCCAGGGCCTGTGCTTGGGGGTTCCCTCTTCCTGGAGTGCTCTTTCCCAAAGCTTCTTTCCCCTATTTCAGTGGCGGCCCTCCCTACCCCTCCAGAAAAAAGTTTCCCCCAGCTGCCAGGGTGCAGGGCTCCACCCAGCTGCCTCTATCTCCCTAGTTTTGCTTTACTATCCTCCCCATATTTGGGGACGGGGGAGGTTCTGGAAACAAAACCTAGACCCTGGCCCATGCTGAGCATGCACTTAATCACGGAGCTGCAGCCCTAGCCATATCCCCAAATTTTATCCCTAGCTGAAATGTTCTCCTTCACACTTTTCCTCGCTGTACATTGCTACTAAACGCAAGTGTCACAAAGACAGGGCCCTTGGCATGTACCACACAACACACATCAAAACTTAGGTGGACCTATTTAGGACATATCTCCTGGAGGTCCCTAGAGGTCCCGATAATACTCAGGGATTTGAACTTCAGAGGGGCTACCAGTAGCCTGGCTCTGCCGCTCACTTTGGGCTGGAGGTACCAAGAGGGGACCCCAGACCTCCTCTTCTCTGAGATCCTCAAATTTATTGCCCTTCCCCAACTCCATGTGAGGATCACAGATGTTTAGAGATGGTGACACCAGCCTTGGAATAGAAGGGCAGCGCGTGTGTTTACTAGGGGACCTGGGATCCCCGCGACTCGGGCTCCCGTAGTGTGTTCCCAGCTACCAGGGAGGCTGAAGGAGAACTGCTTGAGGCCAGAGGCTCAAGGCAACAGAGTGAGGCCCCAGGGGGACAGAAAGAGAGGAGGACAGGAGGGGTGGTGTGTGGGGGAGAGATCATTGTGTTAGGCTCCTTCTAACGCTGGAGTCATTGAGGGTTTGGGATTAAAAGCAACGGTGCCAGGCCTAGAGCGCATCAACCCTCCTGACCTGTTAATAAGATCTGCCAAATGCACACAGGCGGGATTTTGCAGATGACTTTATAGGGATCCATACACCCCCCAGACCTGACCCCTGAACCCCGGGTCGACAAACCCTCTAAGTCATCGCCACCCCCAGCCTAATAACCAGGGCCTCTAATGAGCTGGAAGGCGTGAGAGCCCCAGGAGGCTCCAGGTGAGGGAGGAGGCGGAGGCAGGAATCTGAGGAGGGGCGGAGGGGACCGCGCACAGGGGAGCCAGTGTGTCTGAGGCCGCCTGCGCCGCAGGAACAGGCCCCCGGGGGCAGGTGGGACCTCGATTCCAGCGGGCCACGTGTGGGTGGGGCCGTCCAGCCCAGCCTGGCGTTCCGGTCGGCCCGGTGTGGGGGCTGGGCCTCAGGAGGCCCCTGGCGCCCGGGCGAGGGCACCGAGCCGGCTCCTGCTGCCTCGCCACCCCCTACGCCCCCTGCACCTCCCAGCCCAGGGCGGCCTGGGCCCAGAGCCCCCTCCTGGGGCCGAAAAGGTGCGTGTTCTCTTTGCAGCAAGCAGCTGGAGGCACCTTCCCGGGGCTTGTTCCTGGGGTCCGCGGAGGTCATGGGAACTTTCCCAGAAAGAGAAACACGGAGTGTGAGCTGGCGTGCAGAAGGGACTGAGCACGAGGCCAACACCCTTCCCTGCCCGGAAACCCCCGCCCTGAGCCTTAGATCCCCCTAAGTGCTGCAGATTGGGAAACTGAGGGCTGGCGCAGAAACGACCCTGTTCAGGTGCTAGAAGGGATTGGGACAGGATCCGAGGCACGCGACCCGTGCGTCATGCACATTCACACGTGTGTTCCAACACACACACACTGGCCCTTTGTGTGCCCACACCCAATCTGGCACAGGCACATCCAGACAGGAGGGCACACGCCCAGCTCCCCTCTCTCGCCACACCCACACCCTTGCCTGGTCACACGCTCTAGACCATGAGACCCACACCTAAACACACGCGGGCAACATGTGGCAGCAGGACTCTGGAATTTCAATTCCGGCCTGCTCAGGGGCCACCATCTGGGGTGGGGTGTCTTGGAGGTAGGCATGATGTTTTTTCTATCTTAAAGCACTTATGTAGCCCTCTGTGTGTGTGTGATTGAAATCCTGTCTGTAGTTATAGATCACATACTTACATTTGCTCAGAAGTTGCCCACCCAGTCTCACTTGTATAAGACACATAAATACACTTCAATACAAATCAATCCACGTATGTATGAACACAACCACTCAGGCATACAGACCTATATACTTGAGCACAGTCATCTGCTAATATCCAGACGCCACAAACACATACATATGCAGAGGTTCATTCAGATACTTGGTTTATATTCAGAAAACACATGCACATGCATGTACCTGGTCACCTTGTGGGTTTGATTTTTTTTAATATTTATTTTTTAGTTTTCGGCGGACACAACATCTTTGTTTGTATGTGGTGCTGAGGATCGAACCCGGGCCACACGCATGCCAGGTGAGCGCGCTACTGCTTGAGCCACATCCCCAGCCCACCTTGTGGGTTTGAATGCTCATACAGATCCATGTGCATTTCCAAAAATTTACACAGATGTAAACACCCAGCTCTAACCACACAAATACACTCAGAAATTGATACATAAAGAGAACAAACTCATATACATGTGTACACTTGTTATTTACACAGTCACACCCATGTATACACACCTGGACTTATAGATCTGGAAAGATCTAATACTTGCAAACACAAACACTTGTGCATTCACAATTTTACATAGCTAAGAGTCACACAGTGGGTTTTTTGTTTTGTTTTGTACTGGGAATTGAACCTGCGGGTACTCAACTATTGAGCCACATCCCTAGGCCTTATTTGTATTTTATTTAGTAACAGGGTCTCCCTGAGTTGTTTGGGGCCTCACTAAGTTGCTGAGACTGACTTTGAGCTTGCAGTCCTCCTGCCTCAGCCTCCTGAGCCACTGGGATTATAGGCATGGGTCACCACGCCCGGCTACACAGCTGTTTTGACAGAAAACTACAATGGAACACACAAATAAATGGTGAACAAATGTATACAAATATATCCACACAATTATGTTCATGTGCATACATAACACACACCTTCATATGGAAACAATCAGATTCATATCACTCATAAATACATTCAAGTACACAAATATACATTTCTTAGATAAATGTGCATGTGTGCACTCTCATGAATGCACTCAGAAATGGGAATTCTTGAACATTTATACCCACTTCCTTGACTTACAAAACCTGTCACCCTCAGGTTCACATCATATACTCGAAGCCATAGTACACTTACATGTAAACACACATAAAGTCATCCCTTGGTATTTGAAGAGGATTGGTTCTAGGACCCGCTGCAGATTCCAAACTACAGGTGCTTGAGTCTTATATAAAATGGCAAAATCTTACATAGAACATGTGCAGCCCTCCCATGTTTTAAATCACCTCTAGATGACTTAGAACAACTAATACAATGTAAATGCTGTCTACATAGTTGTTATACTGTATCATTTATGGAGTAATGTCATGAAAAAAGAATGTACATGCTTTGTTCTTTCAACTCAGATGCATTTTTTTTTGTACCAGAGACTGAACCTAGAGGTGTTTAACCACTAAGCAACACCCCCAGCCTTTTCTGTATTTTATTTAGAGACAGGGTCTTGCTGAGCTGCTTAGGGCCTCTCTAAGTTGCTGAAGCTGACTTTGAACTTGAAGTTCTCCTGCCTCAGCCTCCTGAGCCACTGGGATTATAGGCACCTGCCACCTGGCCAGCTCAGATGCATTTTTGTTTCTAAATATTTTAATACCTGGTTGGTTGAATTCATGGATGTAGAATCTGAGAATACAAAGGACTGATTACATGTGTACAAAACTAACACCCAGAAATTGTTTCTCGTATACACACACTGGTATGCATAGCCACATTCACATACTCATATACAAATCCACTTAGACTCAAAAGTGTCCTCATCTACACAGGATCAGAGCCTTCTCCCAACACGTACTGCAGATACCCAGGTACAAAGACATTCTCAAATACGCCCATTAACGACTATACATCCACACTCCTAGATACCGCCACACTCCTGCACCAATACATACATTCACTCTCAATTTCTCTTCCATGCTCCTGCATTGACACAAACATAACCACACACTTATACAAAGTACAAACACATTTAGACACCAATGAATACACTCATATATACACTCACAAAACAGATACCCTCACTCTTTTGTTCTCAGATATCTACCTAATATTGACCTTTCTACACACGAGTTAAAAACACTTATACACACTCTTACACATACATGCAGTGTCCCACTCAGGCACACATATACACACGCAGACGTCCTCCAAGTCACTACCCAAATATATTTAGAGATGCACAGAGATAGGAGGACACAGGTTCTTGTGCCTTAGAAGCAGGTGCACCCACGCACACGCTGCCTACTGGCCAGTCTTTACAAGCCCTCGCAGGTGTTCACAGATCTGAGTGTAGACATTCAGGCCTGCACACGCATCCAGAGGGTCCCTAATCCTTTTCAGTGCCCCAGACGCGCGCCCGCGCGCGCGCACACACAAACACACACACACACAGACACACACACTCCTCCGCAGCGCCCCTCCCCCTCCATCACTGCAGTCCCGCCCGCCGGGCCCTGGACATCGGCAGCTGGGGGCCAGGCAAAGCC